GTGACAAAATATGGAAAAGTTCAAGGGGTATGAATACTTTTGCAAACCACTGTATTTGATCATTTATTGAATTACATTTATCACAGAGCAGTTCTGTCACAGTGTGGTAATAAATATAAACAGGCAGTGAAGAATGAAAGTTGTATATTTATGATAAACTACAGAAACATTTGAAACACGCTCACCTGGAGAACATGGTGCTGTTCTCCTGGTGAGGATGAGGAGGTAAACGTTAAACGGAGATTAATCTTTGCTTTAATATGGGACAAACAAAACTGTGAATCTGACTRGCACCATGTCGTGTGCGCTGCGGCGCAGCAGGCTCGGCTCGGTTCTGTTCGGACTTCACGCTGAACGCCTGCATCTTTGTTAGCGATGGGCGCTTACGTTATTATAGTAAAACAGGACATGTGGCAGAACACTTTACTAGTGAAATGTTGTAAGATAGCAAGATGGACTAACAAACTGAATGTTGCGTGCAGACTTTGTTCGAGCAGTTTGGTCACGCACGTAAAGTTGGACATACAGTATCTGTTGGATAACAGCYCTCTGAACACAAATATTTAATATAAAGTTAAGTTTTATAGACAAAAGTCCAAGGAGAGAAATAAGCAAGGAGAGGTCTCACTACTGACCGCTGCGCTGCTCCTGCAGACTGCTCACCTGCTGCTTTACTGACCCGCCCTCCTCTGCTTCGCTCTGATTGGATAAAAGTGCTCTGGGGTTTGTTTCATTTGTTGAAAGTAGTGGTGCGACTGGGCGGCTTTAACAAGACCACAACAGAACCAGAGGMTTTTTTTTACCTTGTCCCTTACAGATGACAGAAATCCGTCGTGGTGACYGAGAACTTTAAGCCCTGTACACAATACACAAGCCATGCTCTGCAAACACACAGCTGAACAGTGACACAGACACTAACAAACCGTTACATGCTAAAGTGTACAAGTCAATWGTTCAGGATACATGAGACATGAACCCACCAGAATGATCCTAACACTGCTGCACTGAGTTTAAATCAGAAGCTCCTCAGACRTTTGTGTTCATTCTGGCTGCACCCATTGTGTTGACTTCTGTTTAACTTCAACACACAGATTTATTAAGGAAAAACAACTGATTCTGTCATGTCTAAATATCTTGGAGTAGAAGCTAAATGCAGACCTATCCAAAGCTCCAGACTCAGGAGGACAAAAAAGGAACAAATATGAGAAAGCACCAACAACAAAGTGACTATGAATTGTCTACAGGACAGTGGTACCTGGTCCCAGCCCCACAGGCGCTGTCTGGGCTGAGGGTACTTCAGGAGGTCTAATGCAGTCTCTTTGATGATGCTGGGGTTCAGGAGTCTGAACCTGGAGGGTTCCAGAGGAACTTCCTGTGGAACCTTCTGCCAGAAGAAGATCCAGTCCCAGAGAGGCTGCAACACAAAGAACAGGTGTGTTTACTGAAGAGTGTGAGGTGATGACATGATGCAGACAGGTTCAATGGTGGGAAACCAAACACTGAAGGAGACTGATGCATGGTGGTCAACTGTACCAAACACTGAAGGAGACTGATGCATGGTGGTCAACTGTACCAAACACTGAAGGAGACTGATGCATGGTGGTCAACTGTACCAAACACTGAGGGAGACTGATGCATGGTGGTCAACCGTACCAAACACTGAGGGAGACTGATGCATGGTGGTCAACTGTACCAAACACTGAAGGAGACTGATGCATGGTGGTCAACTGTACCAAACACTGAGGGAGACTGATGCATGGTGGTCAACCGTACCAAACACTGAGGGAGACTGATGCATGGTGGTCAACCGTACCAAACACTGAAGGAGACTGATGCATGGTGGTCAACCGTACCGACAGAAGAGTCTTCTGTAACTCTAGATAAATGTCATGTTGCAGAGAGGCTGAAGCAGTTAACAAACAACTAAAGCTGTTCTCCATAAATAAACAAGCAGCAAACATCATGTTTCTACTAGAGAAGCATTGATTCCACTTCTGTACTGATTTTCAACATTTTACATCAAGTATAATTCCAGACAGGAGGAAGCAAGATGGCAGCACGTTGCTGAGCTCCATCAACTACCCACCACTAATTTTAATACTTTAGAACCAAAGTTGAGTTGCACCATTCAGTGAGGGAGTTTGTAAACAATGATAATTAAGATTATAAAGTCCTCTATGAAAACAAAGGGAATAAATAGCCTATACACCACGCTCCTCCCTTCCACTCCCTGGTTACGGCCTGTTGTTTTTAGCGTTAGCTGCTAGTACTAGTCTGTGAAAAAGTCACAAAAGTTAAATCATCTGTGATCTACTGGTATAAAAC